GCCAGCTTAGGAGTACCCTAATTAAGTTAATGATAATGTACCTACCTATATAGTTTAGGTTTAAAAAATTTGACTCTCAAAAGAAATTTCAATCGTTGTACTGTTGATATTTGGCTCTGTTGACTAATGAGTTTGCCGACCACTGACCTATGAATCCGGAGGTCATGGTTTGATTCTCAGTCAGGGCACAGGCCTGTGTTGTGGGCTCGATCCCCAGTGTGGGGTGTGTAGGAGGCAGCCAATCCATGATTCTCTCTCATCATAGGTGTTTCTATCTCTCTCTCCCCTCTCCCTCCCTTCCTCTCTGAAATCAATAAAAATATATTTTAAAAAGTTAAAATAAAAATTGAGATTTCACTTGCAGCCTAATACACGTTAAGTGTTGGTGAACGTTTCCCGTGTTTGGCAAGAATCTCAATTCTCTGTCAGGGCGCAAGCTTCTGCGCATTTTTAGACCAAGTGCGTGAACTGATATTCAAGGCCCTTCGCTCCTTCGTTTTTGCCTCCTTGATCTGTCAGTGTCTGAGGCTTCCCAGGTCCTTTCTCTCATACACATCCTGCTTTTCCTTAAGACAGCCTTCTTCTCTTGCTTCCCTTTTCTAGTGTTTGATTTACACTGTTCTCCGGGAAATTTCCCGTAATTAGCCCCACTAAATTCTGAGCGCTGACTCCTGGGCTGCCGGCCTCCATCTGCTCAGTGCTAATCTGCCACCATCAAAGCCTTTCCCTAAGCATTGTGCTTGAGGCCTCCTACTCTTTCATCTTCCCTCCTTATCAGGCTCCCAACCCTTACAACTTCCCCTGCCCGCACCTCTCCTCACCTCTCCTCGCACACCGGTTCAAAGGGCCCCCAATAAAAACAGCCAACTTCCTGTCCCAGCTCAGACGCCAGGCTCTGCTCACCTCCTTCTGGATCTCACTCTTGAGGGCGGAGATCTTCATCTTCATGTCCTCCAGCTCGTGGTCTGGGAAGGGGTGCACGTGGGGGCTGGCCTCCGACTCCTCGGGGGACGGAAACACGAGGTCGGCCAGAGGGATGTACCATTTGCAGTCATATTGCTGGTGTTTCCTGCACACAAGCCAGAGGAAGGCATGAGCCAGAAGGAACTTGGCTCTTTGAGCCTGAACTGCTGGACCCAAAAACCACCGAGAAGCGTTTACCGAGAACTCGTCACAGGCAAAAGCGATCCCTTGTCCCCGAGGAGCCCAATCAGGAACCACGCACGGGGGGGAGGGACAGGCTTCCGGGGCAGGCAGCATCCCAAACCTCACACTTAACTATTGCCCGCCCCACACTCTCCCCTCCCTGCCGGCCTATCCGTACTTAGCTCACACTCATTACCCTTTAGGCTAGAGATGGAATATAAATGTTATTTTGAATGCCCACTCTGATCCATAGAGGTCCCAGGGGGTACTGGGTGGAGGATTGTAAAGCCACATTCAAGCCCGGTGTGCAACAGCGCACTGGCTCATAGTAATGTCTGCCACGGGCAAAGGGCTGAAGGCATTCGTGCGCTTGCTCAGGATGGCCATCTCTGCTTTAGAGTAATCTCAGGTCTCTTTCCAGGGTGTCATCCCCTTAACTGAAGCTCATGACAACTTCTCCTCCTGGTCCCTTAGTGTTACTCACTGTCTAGCCCGTGGACTGACTGTGAGCGAGCGTACTTGGCACACAGTAGGGGAAAGAAGGTGGGGTGAATACTGAACAACCTTCTCTGCTCGTGGCGCAGAGGGGACCCATCTCACTAGGTACAGAGATGGAGGTGAGGTGGACACAGGCTTCCAGGCTGGAGTGAGGTTCAAATCCCATCTCCTCCACCCGCAGGTGTGCGACCTTGGGCAGCTTCTGTAACTACCCTAAGTCTTTTCTGTCCGTGAGATGCGGACAATAATACCTACTGCATAGAGTTGTTGGGACGATGAGAAATAATCTATTCAAAGCATTTGTCATGACACCTGGCAGGGCAGAACCACTCAACAAAAATGACAGCAGCGGATTTAATGAATATTCACTGACTCGTAGTTAGCAAAAACGTAGAGCTGTCCGATAAAAGAAGAATGCCAAAGGAAATCACGGCATATCCACTCGTAACATCACGCAGGAAAGTGAAATGATGATTATGAAGATTAGGCAGCCACAGGGAAAATGCTTATGACGTGAAATGGAGAACGCAGAGCCCCAAATTGGGTATTCACTCTGATTACAAGTATATGAAAAAACATAAGGACATTAAAATAAAAAAACCCGAAAGGAAATATAGCAGCAGGAGACTGATGCTTATGTTCGAATGGGTGATGGGTTTTTTTGTCTGTAATTTGGTTATATTATCTTTATAATTAAAAACAATTTATTTTTAGAAAAAGGCTACGCAGTAAAATGGAATTAATTAATATGTTTTTAAAAGGAAAAACTATGCAGATTGCCCCAGCTTGTTAAAGGGGTTCTACAGGGGGCAGCAGGATTGGTCTAGTTCCTCCCCAACTTCGCACCCTGGCCTCACACAGACTCACCCCGCAGACGTCTTCTTTAGCTTGGCGCACAGTAGGACGTCTGTGAAGAGGAAGACGTGCCGCAGCTTCCGGGAGCCCTCCGACACTTCCACCAGGAAGCCGTCCTTCACCAGCTGCCGCGTCTGCGGGAGATGCACACCCGCCCGCCTGCTCAGGGGGGGTCAGCCCAGGGCCCAGCAGGCACTGGGGGCTCCATCCAGCAGGGGGGTGGGCTGCAGGGAGCTCCCACTTCCCCCGACTCCCCGAGCTCCCCCCGAGCTCCCGCAATGCCTGGTGGTCACATGGGCATGGGCTTGAATCTAGACTCTGCCACTTCCCAGCTGAGATCTCGGGCGAGTCCCCTGACCTCTCTTAATCTCAGTTAAACTGAGGGATGATGACGTCAGCCCATAAGGAAGGAATCATCAAAACTGGTTTATGCAAAATGGCCCCAGTGCCCAGCACATTCTGTGGATCGACAATGGTAGCTTTAGCCCTAGCCGGTTTGACTCAGTGGATAGAGCATTGGCCTGTGGACTGAAGGGTCCCTGGTTCGATTCTGGTCAAGGGCATGCACCTTGGTTTCAGGCTCCTTCCCGGCCCAGGCCCTGGTTGGGGCGTGTGCAGGAGGCAACCCATCGATGTTTCTCTCACATCGATATTTCTCTCTGTCTTTCCCTCTTTCCCATTCTTTCTAAAAATCAATGGAAAAATATCCTTGGGTGAGGATTAGGAAACAAAATGAAACCATGGCACCTTTACACTTTTCCGCAGCTCTCAATAGCTCTGGTGACCGGGTTCCTCTACCCTGGAGCATGAACACCCCCACCCCCACCCCACAACCCTGCCTAAGAAGTCGTTCTAGCTTCAGTCCGACTCGACCTGCAGACCCTCTCAGGGCTGCTGATGCTACTACCTCGGAGTCAATTCTTCACCCGCCCCAGATGGAGGGGAGGCCTGGCCACCCTCTGTGGGGCTGCAGCCGTGTCCTCGGGAACCTGCGGCCACCTCCCGCCTGGGCGCTGATGGTCAAGAGCAGGACTCCCGGTTTCCTCCCTGCCACCCTCAGGAGCAGCAGAATCCCGGGGCTGTCCCCATCTGTCCCCGCCTTCCGTGGGTTGTACACCACGTGAGCCACCTGTGCTACCACATCAGGTGAGCCTGTGGAAGGTACGCCATCGGAACGATCTGACACTGCCAGTGCTGTGAGCCCTCCGCAGAGCTTTCCCTCCCCGGAGTCAAACAAACCAGTGCTGTTCCCGGGTTTGCAAACCAGGGCTGGGAGCTGTGCACCGGGACAGCCCATTAGTCGCTCTCTAGATCCTGTCCCTCCCTCCGCAGGAGACACTGGGGACTCGTAAATGTAACAAAGGAGCATAAACCCAGCCAGCCTGCGCTCCTAACCACCACTTCATTACCTCTCCTGCACCGGAAGGCTGTATGTGGGCCAGGCTGCTGACCCGGGCCGTACCTGTCTCTGATTCTTCAAATTGCTTCCCTCCACTGCCCTCCCACCCCCGCCACCCTTCTGCCAAGAAGGGCCCCAGGGAACTGGAACTGCTGTGCCACCTCTAGGTGCCCACCTGGGACATCCCAGTAACATGGCTGCCTCGGCCCCCTCTCCCACCAGCTTTTCCTGCTATGGGGCTCCCTCCTTCGTTTCTCCCACCTGCTCGTGCAGGCTGATCAGAGGCAGCTCAGAGCTCCCACTTCCCCCGACTCCCCGAGCTCCCTCAGACTCCCCGAACCCCCTCAGACTGAGCCATTGCCATCCAGGTTGGGCCTGAGGACACCATACTACCCATGAGGGGGTTGCATTCAAGAATGAGATGGGCAGAGCCCACCAAGTCCCTGGCATGGGGACATGCATGGGGCTTGCAGACAGATAATCCCTGCTGAAGAACCCAGCTCTGACACGGTGGCTAAGAGATCTTGTGCCAGACCTGGAGAGACTCCCCAGGCCTCAGTTTCCCCCTCTGCTGCAGCGGAGGATCATGAAGATGAATGAGACACTGGGCTGGAAGCTGTTAGCCCCGGGCCCGAAGGCCTCTCCAGGGCTGGGAATGAGGGATCAGGCTGGAGGGGCACAGGGCACAGGGCGGCGTGCCCGAGCGTCAGGGGAGCAGGGGTGGGTGACCTGGCCTGCCGGGTGAGGCTGTGCTGGGTCCTGAGCTCACCTCCCCTTTGGGGGTTGTGACAGCAGTCCGGCGGGGGTCAATGTCCTCATTGATGCTGGACAGGAAGTTCTGGGAGATGCGGAGGGCGTCCTGCAGGAGCGGGTAGTCGGGGTGGTCCACGGGCGTGTGCTTCAGCAGGTCCTGGGGAGGAGAGGGGTGGTGAGTTGAGAGGAGTTCTGGGGCTTAATAAGAAGACAGTGGGGAGCACTCCATTCTCACTAGAAGAGTTCCGAGGGGGGCACGCAGGGACCCACACTCTAGTCCGGTCAGGCCTGCAAAATCTGATCTAAAATTAGGGGCAGCAGCAGGGGTGAAGGCAGTGGTGCGTCTTTATTTTGCTGACGTTGTTACTCTTTGCCCCTGGGGTGTGGGGGAGCCAGGTGGAGCCTCATCTCACCCAGCAGCTGGGAGAAACACCCATCTGACCACCCACAGCTGCTCCCAGGACACTGGGGACCGTCAGCCAAGGGGTGGGGCAGCAGGAAGTGCCTGCCTCCCAGGGTGCATCTGGCCAAATGTCAAGCTGAGTAGCCCAGTTATATGTAGGCCCTGGCCCGGTTGATGTGGTTTCCACAGGCCAGGCAGCAAGCAGGGGTCCAGGGACCCTCCGCCCAGTTTCCCAAATGGGCTGTTCTCAGTGACTCCAGCACCTCCCACCCTGGGCTCGGTCTCCCATGGGTCCTGACCGGACCCGGCCGTGCAGGGGCTGACACTCACATGCAGGACCAGGGTGCTCCTGGTGACGCGGTCGATGGGCTTGTAGAGCAGAGCTGTCGGGGAGGGCAGGGAGGAGACAGGACACAGGAAGTCAGGAGCAGCTTGAGGCCTCAGGAACCAGTCTTGCTCCCCGACCCGCCTCCCTCCCCCGCACGGACACCCACCCACACAGGCGGGTTCCACAGCAACCTGCAGCTCCACGCTCACCCCAGGCAGGCCAGACCGCACGGCAGGCGGACACACAGCCCTGGCAGCCGGGGCCCCTCCGGCCACATGTCATTTCTTCCAGGGCCGTCTCTAGACCTGCCCTGGCCTGACCGGGCTCAGAGCAGGTGCAGGTGCTCCTCTATACGCCCCTTCCCGAATCGCACCCCTGTGTCCAGCCTCGCCCTCCAGAGCTCCAGCACACTCGGGGTCACACCTGGGACCCCGGAATGTGGAAGGAGACACGCTGCTCCTCCAGGGAGGGCAGCTCCCCCCAGCCTGATCACTCTGACTCCTCTGGCCCACGGCCCGGCACCACAGCTGGAAATGGCAGGCTCCCTCTGACCCACAGTCAGCCTCCTCTCCATGGGGAGACCCATCTCCACGCACTCAAACCCCCGACGAAACAGGCCAGGCTGAGGGAGGCAGGCCAGCTCCCCACAGAGAGGGTCTGCAAGCGGCCAGTGGCAGCTGAGGGGGCAGAGATTTCCTGAAGGAATGCCAGTGGGGCCTCTGGGAGCTCCGAAGAGACAGAAAAACGCAAGCTCAGCAGGGCCCCTCTTCGCCACACCCCTTGGTGACCAGGACACGGAGTGAGGATGGCTGGGATTCAGCAGAGACAGTGGAGCGGCAGCTGGCGACAGTACTTCCCAACGGAGCTGCCTGCTGCTCGAGCAGCTGTGCCGGCCTCTTACACACGGGGGTTCGGCCTCGGTCCTGCACCTGGAGGCTCTGGGCATGGGGTCGTGACCTCTGTCTCCGGCCATGAGAGCGATGAGGCAGGATGCCGGTCTGGGGAGGAGGACCCTAGACTGGGTGCCCCACAGGGCCAGGCTGTGACAGGTCTCAGAGCTGACGCTCAGCCCTCCAACCACCAGAGTCCCCCAAAGCCCAGGAGGGAAACGCCCTGTGTGTGGCTAAGCAGACGCTTGGGGAACAGTCTGCCGGCTGTGGGGAGGATGGGCTCGGTGGTGGGCCACGGGCCTTATCTGCAGTCTTTGCTTGGCTGCCCATTCGAATCACTGGGGAGCTCTTAGAAGACACGGCTGCCAGCCTCCCTCTCCTCACGGCAGCAACTAAAGCCCAAACTCTGCCGGCTGGAACCTGGGGACCGGCATTTTTTAAATCCTCACCCGAGGATATGTTTTTATTGATTTTAGAAAGAGAGGAAAGGAAAGGAAGGGAGGAAGGGAGGGAGGGAAGAAAGGAGAGAGGGGGAAAGAAAGGGAGAGAGAGAGAGACATTGATCAGTTGCTGTCCTGAACAGGGAATAAACCCACAACCTGGGTATGTGCCCTGACCGGGAATCGAACCGGCAACCTTTCAGTGTACAGGACAATGCTCCAACCAATGGAGCCACACCAGCCAGGGCTCAGCATTTTTAAAAAGCGCCTTTGCTAATTCCGATAGAGGAATGACTGAAAGCCACTACTTTATGCACACATACTTCCCATGATTCATTTGTAGCCCTTTCTTCATTTAGCAACGTCTAGAACCCCTCCCCATGGGCGATGGGAGCCAGAGGGACAGGACAGGCTTGGGGTACCCCGGGACAGTGGGGGGAGAGCCCCATCATCAGCCCAGGGGGGACCCAGTCCTGAGGCTGTTTAGGGAATCCACCTGCGGCTCAGCTCATCCCGGGGGGAAATCACACCCTGAGCGGCCCAGAGACCCCAGAGAAAGTGCGAGTTCAGCGGACACCTGCCCGGGCGGGCCTGGCGTTCGCTCAGGGAAAGCTGATCGTGCGGCGTCAGCTCCCTCGGTCCCTCGGTCGGGTCCCGGGGGGTAGAGGTTTCTGACTAAGCTCAGAGGTCTGCACAATGGTGGGTTGGGTTTCACGGGGGTTATTAATATGCCTGTAGTCACCTCCCAAGTCCACCTGATGGGGGTGTGGAGGGAAGGGCAGCTGGCGGAAGCGAGGGGAGAGGGACGTGCAGGGAGAAGGCCCGGGGGACACAGCCGCATGTGGGAGGAACCAGGGGAGGGAGAGCGGCCTGATGTCCATGCTTCCCCGGCTCCCCTGCGCCTGCTTCCCCTGAGGACACAGGCACGGAGCCCACCTTTCCCCCTTCGCCTGTCCCGCCGCCTTCCTGCCCCTGCTTCTCCCGCTCTCCCCGCTCCTCGCCATGCGGTCCTGTTCCCAGAATAGACACCGTTCAGGTTGCAACACCTGCCTCTCCCCCTCCTCCAGGAAGCCTTCCCTGACCAGGGCTTTTGCAAACAAAACCCACAGTGTCTAAAAGTCAGACCACTGCCACGAGCAAGCTGGCTCCCTCTAGCCTGCTGGGGACCTGGCTCTGTGTCCAATGACACTGTCTTCTATGCATGCTTTCCTTGGGTTAAAAAGGGAAGGAATTATCGCCAGCCCCATCTCACAGATGAGGAAACTTCTCCAAGGCACAGGGAAGTTAGATAACTTGCTCTTGGAAAGCTGCACCCGGAAGGTGCGGGCGAGCCGGCCTCTCTTGTTGCCAAGGTGAGCCCCCTCCTTAGAGGCCTGGGCCACGCATGACTTCCCTTCACACCCCCCGCCCCCCACAGAATCTGGCACGGAGCCCCGAAGAGCTCAGCAAATAACCACAAAGGCAGACATCGCCGCCGGAGGGAGCCTCAAGTTGCACAGTCTCCGTGGGACCCCCAGAGCCAGCATCCCCGGGAGGGCCGAGAAGATTCTGAACAGTGTGCTCAGCAAGGGCACATTCACTCCTCACTCCCCATGGTGACGACGCTGACTTCAAAGGCAGCATCGCAGGGGCCAGAGGAACCCTGAAGTGCAGGTCCCAGGCCTGGGTCACTAAGACGAAGCTTCCTTTTGGGGAGGAAAGAGGAAGCCAAGGCTGACCCCTCCCTTTCAGGAGGCAGAGCTGAGATCTGACCAACCCCTAGGCCAGATCAAAAGCGCATTTCCCTCTGATCTCAAACAGGCTAGTTCAAGTCCACGCTCCGCTCAACCCTGCTGTCCGAATCTAAGCTAAGGACGGCGCACAGGCAGCTTCTGCCAGTGACCAGACT